GACTCATTTGTAGGTTTTTTATTGTTTAGAACAATCACTGGTCACATAATTTTCTATTTAAAATTCAGAATAATGAATAATATTTTGCTGAATGTGTGGAAGCAGAGAGAAAAGCAGAAAGCATCATTACAAAAAGATAAGAACGGCTATCTTACGCTATAGCATGGTAGCATGACTTGTAATGCAATAGTGCCTCTACAGATCCTATAGAAAAAGAAGCTTTCATTTTGAATATCTTAAGAATGGACCTGATGAAAACATACGGACCACCATTTTGTTTACAAAAATAAAGATAATCCTGTAAAATGATAATCTCAAATTTGAAAATTGATTTTTAAAATTAGCAACATGTAGTCTGTCCTGTAAGATAGCATCTTTATTAATTCTTATCTACCTCTACCCCTTCCAAAAGATACAGACTAAAATTAAAAATGCAGATCTTGAATTTTTTTAACTGTTTGTTAAACTACATTTTGATTTGATTTTCTTTTTTAAAGATTTTATTTATTTGACAGAGAGAGAGACAGCGAGAGAGGGAACACAAGCAGGGGGAGCGGGAGAGGGAGAAGCAGGCTCTCCGCCAAGCAAGGAGCCCGATGCAGGGCTCGATCCCAGAACCCTGGGATCATGACCTGAGCAGAAGGCAGAAGCTTAATGACTGAGCTACCAAGGTGCCCCTACATTTTGAATTTCATGGGTTATTCAATACAATGCCAATAATCTAAGCCTTGATACTATGAGTGACGTTTAAGAAGCCAGCCATGGTAGGGAGTTTGAAAGGGGCAGTCAATTAAGATATATTTACTTCCTTTTTAAATTAAATTTTATGTTTATCTCTTACATAATTTTTGAAAAATATATAAGCCCTTCTTTAGAAAGAAAGAAAATCAGACATATGAGTTTTCTATCAAAAAAAATGTTAACTTCTAATTAGTAAAGTATTTGCATTGACTGCATTTGTTTGCCTAAGGAAGTTTTAAGGTGAATATATTTAATTGCTATTTCTAAAAGATACTTCCAAGCTACTGGTACCCAAGGAGGAAATGTTAACTCTTCTTGTTGTAATGAAACGTGTTTTTTTCTTTTGCTGTGATAATTTCAAAGCTGAAAACACTGAATAAATTACCTGTCATAAAACAATGATTAGTATATTTAATGATATTTCAAAACTATCAACTAATTAAACAGAAGTTGTTTAGATTTTTAAAAGGATTTATTTTATTCAAAGACTATAAAAAACAGTTTTTGGTAAGGTGAATAAGAAGGAATATTTCTCTTTTCTTCTGTAGAATTATTTTGGTAAAGTGATATGTTTTTTTCCCCCTGAAACCTACAGTCTCTGTAAAGTATTGCTGATTATACTTTTATAGTAATCTACTTAATTTTTCATTACCTTAAGTATTTCAATACAAATATATTTTCATTGTTCAATTTAATCTTCAGTTCTTTGATACTACAAAAAAAAAAACCCACAAAACGCCAGTACGGTGACATTTATTTTTGCCGCTGTTTGACGACTTTTTAAATTGGGGAGAAATGGAAAGGTACGTGTCTGTGTTCAATTTGTGAGTGAGCAAAGTAGAAATGCTGGTTCTTCATGGTAACAGTAAACCGAGCTGGCCTGTTTTCACTCTAATAAAATCAACTTCGGCGCGCAGACGAGGACCGCCCGCGCTCGCACCTGCACGCCGCCGGTGGGCGGGGCTTCGCCCCCTGCCGCGCGCCGGAAGCCGGACACCATCGAGCCGCGGTCCTCCCGCGTGCCTAGAGCGGAGGCGACGGTGCGCTGGGAGGCGGGCGTTCGGGGCTGGGCGAGGGTCGCGGACCGTGCTGAAGCGCGCCTGGCTAGCCCTGAGGGTCGGTGCTGGGTGCGTGGTGTCTGCGCGCCGCCTGGGAAGGCCCTGCAGACCCGGGCTGGGGAGCAGCTGGTGCCCTAGGTGCGGAGAAGCTTTCTGCGACAGAGGGCCCGCAGGCCGGGGCTGGGGCCGGGGGCGTCCTGAAGCTGCGGATCTGCTGACCTGGGCCCAACTTAGGCTGCACTTGTTTCATCCACATTGAGAGCAATTTTAAACACGTGTTGGAAGGTAAGCCTTGGAAGGTAGTGCTGGAGCAGAAACCTGAAGAACATGAAAAGACCTGTGTGGCCTTTGGGGGCACGCGCTTTCGGGCAGAGCGAACAGCAAGTGCAAAGGCCTCCAGGCTTGCTTGGCATTCTCGAGGAATAGCAAGGAGACCGGGAATGTAGACCCGCCCGTCCTGAGCGGGGGGCGGGGTTTGTAGAGGACGGGACTGAGAGGTTGGGGAGCGGGAGGAGGTGTGTAGAAGTGGGCGTTTTATTGTGGAAGTAATTTGGTCGTTTCCTGGTGTGAAGAATTTTTGGAGGATTTTAAGCAGAGGGAAAACATCCGATTCATGTTTTAAAGCATCTGTAGCTGGGAACTCACGATGAGATAAGACCGTAAGGCCGCAAGAATGGAATCAGGGAAACTATTGCAAGTAATTCAGGTAGGAGATGAGGCCATCTTGAACTTTTATTATTGTGGAAGTGGTTAGTCCTGGTCAGATTAATGATCTACCTGGAATGCGGAGCCAGCAGGCTTTGCTGTTGGATCACATGTGGATTATGAGAGAGAGAGAAGGCAAAGTTAAGTCCAAGGGTTTAAGAGCTCTTGGAGGAAAGATCTGAGGTTGAGCTTTGGGATCTTGTGTAAGTTATTAAACTCTCCATGTCTCAGTATCCTTCTCTGTGCAGTGAAGTTGGCAACTGTGTCTTGATACAGTTGTGTGAAGATTAAATGCATTGACACTCAAAGTACATAAAACAGTTGTGTTGGCTTATTGTTTTATTATGCTGAGACATGAAGGGTATATGGGCACTAAGGAGAAGAAAAATGGGGGAGTTGAGTGTTCGATGTGGAAGGACCCAGGAACAGGAAAGAGTATCATAAATTTGAGGACCTGAAAGTTCATTAGATCATAAAAAATTTTAAGCCATATTAGATGTCTTTAACTTAATGCCAAGGGAAGTGATGAGTCACTAAATGCAGTAAATGCACAGCAGAGATACAGTCCTATCTTCTCTTTAGAAATATCATTGTTTGCAGTGTGGGAAATAGATTGGTGAGTCAGAAGACCAGTCACAGTAGTCTGGATAGGAGGAGATGGTGGCAAGGGGGACGAAGAGGGGAGGATGGATTGGAGAGCTATTTAGGCAGAATCAATAGATCTTGATTGATCTGATGCACAAGATGTGAAAGTAGGCTGGAAGGGTCCGTTTATCATATTATTTATTATATATTGTGTTTGATACATTTAGTCATGTCATAGAAATGACCACCACTAATTCAGCAACCTATGCTATGTATCTGTATTAGAGTTCTCCAAAGAAGCAGAACCAATAGGAAATACATAGACATGGACACATAGAGACAGATTAATTATGAGGAATTGGTTCATGAAATTACAGAGACTGGCAAGTCCCCAAGATCTGCAGGGTGAGTCAGTGAGCTGGAGACCCAGGAGGGCCGATGGTTTAGTTCCATTCTGAGTTCAGAGGCCTGAGAACCAGGGGATCCGATGGTGCAGTGACAGAAGTAGGCGGCCAGCAGTCTTGAGATCCAGGAAGAGCCCGTGTTTCCATTTGAGTCTGAAGGCAGGAAAAAAGCTGATGTCCCCATGTGAAGGCAGTCAAGCAGGGAGAATTCTCTTACTTGGGGGAGAGTCAGCCTTTTTGTTCTATTGAGACCTTCAACTGATTGGACGAAGCCCACCTACATTATAGAGGGTGTCTGTTTTACTCAGTGCACTGATGTAAATGTTACTCTCATCCCAAAACACCCTCACAGAAACCCCCAGAATAATGTTTGACCAAATATCTAGGCACCCCATAATCAAGTTTTCACATAAAATTAACCGTTGCAATACCAAACTTTTATTTCTGGCTAATAACCATCACTTTCTTCGACTTTTTCATTTCTATTAAGGACAGTAGGATTTGACTTTTTAAATTTTAAGTTCATTTTTTACATATATATATTCGGCTCAGGTCATGATCCCAGGGTCCTGGGATATATATATATATATATCAGGTGGGAGTTACCATCTCCACATCCAGGACTACATAACAGCAAAGCTGTATTTGGAGCCCAACCAGGTTTTATAGTGTTTTTAAAACCAAGAGCCAATTTTCACAGTTCATTTAGGTGTCTGTTTAATCCAGAACAATACCTCTTTTTATTTTTGTGAAATTGTTGTAGATGAGCTGCATTCAGGATTTATCTGGAAGTCTCCTCATTATTAGATTCATATGAAACATTTAGTAAAAATGCTGCATAAGTGATAAGGCACAAGGTCAGTTGTCTGACTGTTGGTGTTGCTGGGCTTGATCATTTAAGTTTGTGGCTGCCAGATGTCTCCATTGTTTTTTTGTAATTAATAAGCAGTCAGTATGGTGGTGCTTGGAGACTGTGAGAATGCCCTTTCTCCCCACTCGTTTTGCCCAGTGACTTTACCCATTTGTGGTCTTTGATTCAATTACTTATTTCACCAAGCTGCAAAATGGTGATCTTTTCAGATTTGTTATTCCTGCTCTGTCAGCTGGCAGTCTTGTGTAGAACAGAGTTTTCTCCTTTTGTATGTGTGTTCTGTTTTTAGGAATGGTTGTTTCGGAGAGAAAGAAATTGATAGTAATTATTGGAATTGTATGAAGCCAACAAAGGTGTATTGCTGTGGTTACTGTTACTGCTACTGTTTCTGTGATTCTTTTTTGGGGGGGGTAAAATTTATTTATTTATTTGAGATTGGGGGGAGGGGAGGGGCACTGAGCAGGGAACCCGATATGGGGCTCCATCCCAGGACCCTGGGATCGTGACCTGAGCCGACGGCAGACGCTTAACCAACTGAGCCACCTGTTTCTGTGATTCTTGTTTTTACATTTTCAGAAGGAGACCGTGAAAAGGAAGTTCTCCGAGGCAGAGAGCGCAAGCCAGCTGATGCTGGGGATGGCGACAGCACTGGCTAATGCCCATTCCCCAGCTCCTCTGAATCTGAAGAAGGAGGGGCTTCAGACAGTGAAGCAGGATCCCTGCTCTACTTGGGAACAGGGATTCAAGCTGCCAGGAAACAGCACCGGCCTTGGACAAGAACCGCTGTGCAAACAGTTCAGGCAGTTGCGATATGAAGAGACCACAGGGCCCCGCGAGGCGCTGAGCCGGCTCCGGGAGCTCTGCCGTCAGTGGCTGCGGCCCGAGACGCACAGCAAGGAGCAGATCCTGGAGCTGCTGGTGCTGGAGCAGTTCCTGACCATCCTGCCCGAGGAGCTGCAGGCCCGGGTGCGGGAGCAGCACCCCGAGACCGGGGACGAGGTGGTGGTTGTGCTGGAGGATTTGCAGCCAGAGCTTGGAGAAGCAGGACAACATGTGGTAAGGAGCAGATTCGTTTTTTGTAGAAAAGCGGGAGCTGAGACCTGGGCCGGCGAGGTGGGCACGAGCTCAGTAACAGGAGAACTGCTAAGCTTTGGTTCGGTTTCTTTCCAGTCTGGCTGCTCGTAGCTGTAGGTCAGCCTCCCCTGCTGTCTGCTGGGATGAACTGAACGTACTGCTTTTCTCTGACCCCCGGTTTCTCTTGACTCCTTTCTCACGTAGAAGTGTTTCCTGAACAGTTTCCTCCTAAGCCCACATGTCCCTAACTGTCCCTACATAACCGTCCCTAGGGCCCAGACCAGGCAAAGCAGCAGAAGATGCTCGCAGAGGTGGCAGCCCCTGTGGAAGCAGCGCGGGAGCCACAGGTCCAGCCTGAGCGTGACGTCCCAAAGCCGGAAGAAGAGCAGGGTAAGAAACAGCTGTGTCTTCTCACGTGTGACAGCTGGGCTTTGGTGTCCCCTCCGGCGGCCCAGCTTTTGTGTTTGTTTTGAGTCAGGTTTATTGAGGTGTAATCTACACACGGTAGAAATCACTCTGTAAGTGTCCGGGTCAGTGAGTTTTCACAAACATGACAAAACTCAGTCATCTAATCACCACCACAATCTAGATCTGGAAGATTACCATCACCCCAAACATTTCCCCCCATCCTTTCCTTGGTGTTTCTGTTCAGCAGAAACCAAAGGCCCTTCCTGTGTCACGCTTCATCTCCTCCTTCTTCCAGTTACCATGGGGGTGAATAAACAAGGATCGCTAGTTTCTCACCCGAGGCAAAGAACCTCAGCCCCGTGGGCCAGTGCTCATTTTCTCTTGTCTCCTTCAAGTTATTGTAGTATTATTACTGTCTTTTGTTTCTAAATGTTACCTGGATTCTTTTTTACTATATTGTATTTTCTTTGTCACTGAAATTCCTCTTTCTTTCTGTCCCTTACATTTTTTTTTAAAGATTTTATTTATTTATTTGAGAGAGAGCACGCGAGAGCATGAGCAGGGTGAGGAGCAGGGGGAGAAGCAGGCTTCCGATGGAGCAGGGAGCCCGATGCGGGGCTCGATCCCAGGACCCTGGGATCATGACCTGAGCCGAAGGCAGACGCTTAACGACTGAGCCACCCAGCTGCCCCATGATGGGCCTATATTTTAAATATGACAAGTAAATGTATTCATAGTAGATCCTTGACACTGTCCCTTGCCCTCCTGGTCTGTTGAAAATGCTGTTTTACACTCAAAGTTCAGGTCGTTTTCCAGTTTGAGCCGCCCCCGCTTTTTAGTTGTTTATGTCATTAGATCATTGCTGGAAAAGGATCTCTCTTCCTTTAAGTCCTCCCTCCCGTGCGTGGCCGCAGGAAGATGTGCACAAGGTGCCTCGCACAGGATTCGCTGTCTCTGGCTTCTCCTTGCGAGTCGTCCACTGTTGCCTTTGGCTCTCGTGTGCTCTCCCTTTGCAGTTGATCTGCTTCCTTTATGCGGCTCACACTCATGAACTTGTGCTAGCTTGTTATTGGTGCTGCTGAGGACCTCTCTCCTGCTTTCTGTCTCATTCCAACTTTGCGTCATCATTCAGGTTCCTGGCCTTGGAAGGCCCATTCTACTGACCCACCTGTGCCTGTATGTCTGAGCTTAGGTTTTATTCATCAGACATTGCCTACGCTTTTTCACGTACCAGACACAGGAGCAAATTATTACAGCATCAAGATACTCGGTATCTGTTGAGCCACACAGGAAAGCAGCTGCTGCTGTCCAAGGAGATCGGGAAAGTTCAAGACATTTTTGTGAACTTCATGTTACCCTTGAGGGTAAAACCCAGTGGTTTTGATCTGTTGGTGAGGACAGTGAACCCAGAGGGTTTTGATTACACAGCCAATCAGTGGTAAAATGGGCTCTGTGTCTGCATTTCTTCATTTCCAGTACTTTTCTCTTTCTTATTGGCCCCACGGCCCTCAGTTGACCTCGCTTTTTTATACTCCAGCTGACAAACCATTTTCAAGAATGTACAGCCATGCCCTTTAAGACTGTTTGCGTGCTTGCTAACTTTGTGTGCTGTATGTCACATGATCAAGTTCAAACCATTTTTTTTTTTTAAGATTTTTTATTTATTTTTGACAGAGTGTGTACAAGCAGGGGAAGAAGCAGGGAGAGGGAGAGGGAGAAGCAGGTTCCCTGCTGAGCAGGGAGCCTGATGCGGGGCTCAATCCCAGGACCCTGGGATCACGACCCGAGCTGAAGGCAGACGCTTAACCATCTGAGCCACCCAGGCGCCCCAAGTTCAAACCGTTTAAGATCAGCTGCCTCCTACCACAGTCCCCATCCTCCCCCGAGCAGCCACTGTTAACAATTTCTTGTGTACCATTGCGTGTATATTCTGTGCAGATGCAAGCATCCACAGCATTTCCACTTGGCACACATGGCTTGATTTAAATTTATTCCTCCTAATTGCAGATTCCCTTCCCTAAGCATTAAAAAACAAGTAATTGGTAGTATATATTTAATGTTGCAGGTGAGGAGACAAAGATTGAGAATGGGAAGACGGTGGTAGAGACAGATTCTTGTGGAGGAGTGGAATCATCTGGTAAAATATCTGAACCCATAGAACCTCGTCATGAGGACCCTAACTTGGAAGGACAGCAGGTCAAGCCCAAGGAGAAGACTGAATATAAATGCTCAGACTGTGGGGAGGGATTCACCCAGCGCTCAGACCTGATTAGACACGAAGGGACACACACACAAGGGAAGCTCTGTGAATCTGAGGCTTGTCAGAGTCCTAGTCCTACTGCACATCAGAAAATCCGCTCTAGAGAGAAAGGTCATCAGTGTCACGAGTGTGGGAAAGCCTTTCAGAGAAGTTCACACCTCGTCAGGCACCAGAAAATCCATCTTGGAGAGAAGCCTTATCAGTGCAAAGAGTGTGGAAAGGTCTTTAGCCAGAATGCAGGCCTTCTGGAACACCTTAGAATCCATACTGGAGAGAAACCTTACCTGTGCATCCACTGTGGGAAGAACTTCAGGCGCAGCTCCCACCTCAACCGACACCAGAGAATTCACAGTCAGGAGGAGCCCTGTGAGTGCAAGGAGTGTGGGAAGACCTTCAGTCAGGCCCTTTTCCTCACCCACCACCAGAGAATCCACAGCCACTCCAGAAGCCATCGCTGTAACGAGTGCGGGAAAGCCTTCAGTTTGACCTCGGACCTTATTCGCCATCACAGGATTCACACTGGAGAAAAGCCTTTTAAATGTGCCATATGCCAGAAAGCCTTCCGACTGAACTCCCACCTGGCTCAGCACGTGAGAATCCACAACGAAGAAAAACCCTATGAGTGTAATGAATGCGGCGAAGCTTTCAGGCAGAGGTCGGGTCTTTTTCAGCATCAGAGATACCACCACAAACACAGTCTGGCTTGATGGGGCATCCTCTCTGCAAGGAACATGACGGACAGTATGTTGACAAGCAAACAGCACTTTAGGAAGAGTCACTCCAGCCAATTCTAGCCTCAGAGAACTCCAGGGGGCCAAGTGGGAGGCTCTGTCCCTTCACTTGTGCTCAGCCTTGGACCACAATGATTTGATCCTTGATGGGACTGTGGGAAAAAAGCAAAGCCACATTCTTCACTGCAGGACTTCTCTGAGCCTTTAACATGGTAAATGCATGATTGCACACCTCCAAGTAGTAGAGAGCCTCATGATTGAGTGAGGGCTTTGAAGTCACCAGTGAGTCAGTCAAGTATCCACGGATTTATAGTCTTGACCAGAACAAGAGCAGGTCAGTATTTTTGCATCTGCTACAGCAGCAGCTATAAAATAAAACTAATGATGTTTGGAAATACACCACTCTTAAAGTGCAGGTTAATGGTGGGCATTTTCCCCCACTGGTTTTACTAACCACCCCCTACTGGCATCCCCCACTTTCCCCACCCCCCAGTCAGCAGAAGCATTTTGGAAAGCAAAGAAAATTTAATTTGACCACTTCCCACCCCATTCTTACCACAATACTTCACTGATTCAAGTTGGAAATCAAGGTTTTACTGAAAGTATGGAAGACATTTCATAAGTCATTTGAATGAATTCAGGTAGCAGCTGTCTTACTTGATATCTCCGGTGCCAGGGTAGTTGGCTCCTGCATAGGCACTGTTTAGTAAGTGGGGAAAGAAATTGGACTTTTTCCTTTTAATACTGATAATGCAGTTTTATTTTATTTTTTATTTTTTAAAGATTTTATTTGAGAGAGAGCATGAGCAGGGGGGAGGGCGGAGGGAGAGAAGCAGACTCTCTGCTGAGCACGGAGCCCGACAAAGGGCTCGATCCCAGGACCCTGAGTTCATGACCTGATCCAGAATCAAGAGTCAGATGCTTAACCGACTGAGCCACCTAGATACCCCTGATAATATAATTTTAAAATGTTGCTTGTTCTGGAATTCTTTGGAAGTCAAACAATAAAGTCAGCTGGGAGGAGATCATGATTTTATACTGTGAATACCAAAATGTCATGGTAATGGTGAAGAGTATTGAGCTTAGGGGAGTCCACTCCTGAACCATCATTGCTTGCTGATTGTCAGTAGCTGCATAGGGTATTGTGTCTGGAAAAAGTGTCTCAGTCTGCCATGAGAATGAACCCTCGTGCATTGTTGAGGGTTTGATGCATCTGCATATAGTTTAGAAACAAACGAGGAGTGACTTCACAAAAGCTTGTTTTTCTCTCAGGTAGAAAAATCTGGAGACAAGCAGTCCAGGACTGATAAAGTGTTTCCGTGACACCACTAGGGATCCTGCTTCTGCTTTTCTGCTCCAGCATCCTAGTGCACACCATCAGTCCTGAGGTTGTCACATGATCCTTGGTGGCTGCTTAAGCTCCAGCCATCACATGCAAAATGCAGACAGAGGCAGAATGACAAAGATGCCTCCCAGCTCAGCCAGCTCTCTGTGAATAGCCTCCCAGAAGTCACTTCCACACATGTGCTACAGGCCAAAACTTGGGAAAGGGAGTTTGGAGAGTGTGTCTTGTTCTGGTTTGCGGAGTGCCCAGCCAGAAACTAAGCTTCTGTCACTAGGAAGAAAGGGGAGCATGAAGGCTGGAACAGGCACTTTGCAGTCTTTGACCCACTTCCCACCTGTTGCGTGTGGTGTGAGCAGGTGCCACCGTTAATACCATTTCCTGGAGGAGGACCAAATCTGTGGGAGAAGCAGTGCAACTTTTTGTGGCTCTAAAGCATTTCATGGAAACATTCATGTTCTATTCCTTAGGAAGTCGTAAAGCTGTCTGTCTTTCAATCTGCCGATGAATAAAATTAAGTTGATATCAGGAATTTTCTCCCAAGTGTTTTGACGGCTGTGCTGAGGTCAGTACCTAAGCATTCAGCTCTGTGTCATAGTTTAAATCTGTTTGATTCTGTTCTGTTTTAGAAGGAAAGAACAGAGAATGTCTGTTTGCTTCTCTGTTAAGAAGGAAAAAACAATTCTCATGAAAAAGCAATGACAACAAGAGTCACAGTATGAAGAGTGATATACCCTTAAATATTTGGAAAATTTAGCTTTCTTTGTGGTGATTCTGTAGTACACGCATTATAAAGTTTTCTAAATTTGTTGATACCTTAACCAACCTAATCCCTCACACAGTCCCAAAGGAAATGGTGTTCTCATCAGTACCCTGGGGGCATACGCATAATGACTTGGACATAAATGTTGGATACAGGTATATTTTATTTATTTTTTAAATTTTTTTGAAAGAGAGCATGGGGGTGGGGAGGGGAAGTGGGAGTGGGGGCAAGACAATCTCAAGCAGGTCCCATGCCCAGGACCCTGAGATCATGACCTGAGCTGAAATCAAGAGCCAGGTGCCCCTGGATACAGGTATATTTTAATAACATGCTTTTCTTTTCTAGGAGAGTATAGAAACATTGAACAAAGGGCAAAATGTTCTAACAGATCTCGATGAAGGTTTTGCTTGCAGTGCAACACATGATAGAGGCTCTAGAAGGAAAGCTGAAAGTCTGTTCAGAGGGCAGCAACCCAGAAAGGATGAGCTCTATTGCAACGTATCTTCTACGGATCAGCTTTTCTGTTGGGATAGTATCCTCTAGTGTTCAAAAAAGAGTGGTCCTTGTGTGTCTTCATTTCCTCTTCACTCTCCTGTTTAAAAAACTGATAAAGTTATTAATAAGTGTGCCATTATAAATGTAGTATGGAAAAACAGGAAAGGGAAAAATAAAGCACCCTAATTTCACCTGTCAAAAATAATCACTGTTTAACGTGCATATATACACACACATACTCGAATTGTGATTTGTCGTTACTAATAATTTCTGCTTAATTTTTAATATCAATTGTCCATGTTTATCTTCATAAATTCTTAATTAACTTGTTTATTATGATAGAAATTCATATATTTTGTAAAAACCTTGAAAAATGTAAAGAAAGCAAATCATCCTGCTTCATGGGCCAGATACAATCCCTTAATAAAGTATTTTGAGATACTGGTCTTTTTTTATGCATAGAAACATTTTACTTTTCTACTGGATTTCATATTACGAACAGTTTTGATTTGTAAGAGAAAAGGACAGTCCATTTGCCTATCTGCCCAGTCCATTCTAGACCAGTTCTGCCATGATCCTGGGTGGGCAGCTTGCCACGTGACCCTTCTCAGACCACTGAGGATTGGATTGGGTGGGGGACCCCTAAGTCAGGCTTGGTCATTTGGATACCCCCAGAAGTTTGATATTGGGTCACAGATTCTGGTTGGTCTCTGTTAGACATTTGAACAAGAAACTAATCTAGAGCTGGAACCATTTTTGTGGTCACATAAAAACCAAATAGAAACAAACCAGCCTAGTGAGAAGTAAAAGAATGAAAGTAAGTCCTGAAGCTGGGACCCTATGAAGGCTCAGAGAAACTCAGGATAAACGACTCTGGCCCTCAGCTCCTGAGGTCCACCACACTCCCAACTGGTCCTGGGAGTCCAAGAAATACCCTTGTTTCCTTCTGTCAAAGGTTTCTTTTAAGTCAGTTTGATTGGGTTTCTGAACCTTGCTAACAAGTAAACCCAGAAATCCCTGATTAAGACATTCGGATAACTAAAAGTCTTCATGGAAGATCATTTATTTTTATTTAAAAAAAATTTTTTTTAGAGATTATTTGAGTGAGCAAGAGTACAAGCAGGGGGAGGGGCAGGGGGAGAGGGAAAAGCAGACTCCCTGCTAAGCAGGGAGCTGATACAGGACTTGAACCCAGGACCCTGATATGACCTGAACCTAAGACAGCTGCTTAACCAACTGAGCCACCCAAGCATCCTGGAGATAATTTTAATATAGGTCGCACAATATTCTATAGTATATGTTCCCATTGTTAGTCGTTTAGTTTATAGTTTGTCACCACAAACATTTCAGTAAATATCCTTGGACTTTAACTTTGCTCACTTTATAGAATTCTTTTCCTTCATTCAATTCCTGAAACTAGGATGTAAATGAGACAAAGGGGTAGGCACAATTTTCTTTTTGTTGTCTCAGGTTTATTGGAGATATTACAGCACAGCAGAAAGATTCAAACGGCTCCACGTGGTGTTTTGAAATTCATCCCAACTGTAGGCTGGGTGACCCGCAGGTTGGACAGACTGCCAAAGTCCAAGAGTTTCAACATTTCCTTAGTGTCAGGGTCTATCTACTTCAATGATCTCCTGATCCAGGGCTGAGACCTTGGGCCCGTAATTATCCCCCCTTTCTCTCTCCTCCTGCAGCTTGATGGAGATGCCTCGCACCGGGCCCCTCTGAATCCGCTTCATCAAGTGTGTGACATAGCCTGCGATCTTGTTGCGGAGCGTCTTGCTGGGGATGATGGCGATCTCCTCGCACACGTGCTTGTTGGTGTGAAAGTCGTTGCCCAGGCGCGTGTAGTACCTTTCAATGATGACCCGGGCCGCCGCCTTCACGGTTTTGGTGCGGACACGGCCCATGTCGGCGGGTATTGTAAAAGAGCAGTAGGCACATTTTCTAAGGCTTTTGATTCATTTGCCAGATTGCCCTCCATAAAGGTTATGCTAATCTGTGCCTTCTGTTAGCAGTCTGTGAAAATGCCCGTTTTTACATACCCACATCAAACCTGGGAATTATTCTTTTGCACATTTGACAATCTGGTGCATACGAAATGAATCTTTTCAAAGGGGTTTTAAAAGAATACTTTTGCTGCCAAAGTTGAACATCTACTTGCATGTGAATTGGTCATTTATAATTCTGGTTTTCACCTTTTTCTGGATTTTTCTATTAGATTCTTTTAAACAGTAGTGCCCTTAAAAATTAATAGGGGAGCTGTATATAAAATTTTAGATGCACATGCTCTTTGACAGATCAATTCTAATATGTAGTATTTAAGCTGGAATTATGAAAATATGTGAAGATACTGTTCTCTGCAGCATTACTTACTGTGCATACATACACATGTACTATAAAACAGTAGGGATAGTTAGGTAAATTGGCGTGCATCCATACGATGGAAACTATTAGGCTGTTAAAAAATTAGCTGATATGGAAAGATCTCCAAACTATCTTAATAGAAAAGGCTGAGGTGCAAATTTATGTTGTGATCCCGTGAGTTTAAAATATATAGCTACATACTCACTAAACAAATGCTTATTGTGTGCTACTATGTGGCTGGTAGTGTCCTGGGAAAACACACAAAATATTAACAATGGTTAACTTTGGGGATGGGGTACTTTTCATTTTATAGTTTCTAAGCAACTTGATTTTTATTGGGCATATATAATCTACATATTTAAATTTTAGGAACTTGTGCTGTATTGTAATTGTTCATTCATCTGACCGCAACTTGAGAAGATACTAAAAGCAGAGTCTCGGCTTTGCCTTTGCTGTCTTGTCTTTAAGTGAAACAATTTACAGAGGTGAGGGTCCTGCTCGGGTCTTCGGGACGCGCCTGCGCGGGACGGCGGCAGGGATCCTCCCGGCGCACTAGAGAGGAGTGAGGCCTCGATCCTAGAGAGGCCGGGACCGCGTTCCTAGAGAAGCCGCTACTCGGTTGCCCGAGCGGCGGAAGCCGCTCTGGGGATTCAGGCGCACCGCCGCCCGGGACCTGGGGCGAGGCCGCCGCGTCTTTGCCGAGCACGTTCCTTGAGCTTTTGGTCCGCTGACCAGCCGTCGGACGCGCACGGATCGCGCGCCCGCTTGGTGCCTCCGGGCCGCCCGGACACCAGGTGGTAGCCGGGCTCGCTGGGGCCTTGTGGACCCGGCCTCTGACCTGGGCGGGGGTGGGGGCGGCGGGAGCCGGAGAGGGACTGGATGGGCGCGGTGGGTCGGGCTGGCTCTCCCGCGAACGGCCCGGAGAACAGACGGTTTCCTCCCTCTGGACGTGAGGTGTAGGGTGGCGTTTGCGCTGGGACTTGGGAACTGTGCCCCCCTAGAGGGGCAGTCCTGGCCATGAAGGACGGAGTGGGTGGGAAAGAGCCAAGCAGGTCAGCATGGCAGTGACGTGAGGAGTTTGCGAAGGGGGTAGGGACTGTGCCTTTCATTTCGGGGTTAGCGTTGTGCCTCGAAAATAATGACGTGCTCGGTAGTTTATCGAATGACAGACAAACCAGTAAAAACCCAGAGAAGGTTTGAATCCAGTCCAAGGAGGAGCACTGGAAACCCTCTTTTTGGAGAGGGAGAGGTGTTGAACATGGTCCGAATGGTGCTTTAGGAAATACTAACGCGGTGATGGTAGAGTGGCCTGTGGGGCAGGGATACCACACAGAACGTTACTGTGGTCGTGAATGTCCATGGGACTAGGGAATGGCTGCAAGAGGTGTTTTGGAGGAAGGACTGACTGGACTCCGAATGACTGTGTGGAGAGGCTGGTTTTTGTTTTTTTTAAAGATTATTTATTTGACAGACAGCGAGAGAGGGAACACAAGCAGGGGGAGTGGGAGAGGGAGAAGCAGGCTTCCCGCGGAGCAGGGAGCCCGATGCGGGGCTCGATCCCAGGACCATGACCTGAGCCAAAGGCAGAGGCTTAACGACTGAGCGGCCCAGGCGGCTGAGCAGCAGGTTTTAAGCCTGCATGCATGGGGGATGGTGGTGATGCCAAGGGAAATGGGGAGAACAGTGAGTACAGTTTTGACAGGACTCCGGTTTCAGCTTGGGATGTGTTGAAATTACGACCCAGGAGAAGCTGGAAGGCATCCAACTGGCATTTCAAGATGTGAGTCAGGAATGTAAAGGCGAGTTGGAGTCAGCCAGAGATTTGCGTATTCTTGGAAGAGAGGTATACTGAAATTGGGATTAATGAGATCACAAAAGGAGTAAGGAGAGAAAAAGAACTTGGAAGTATGTGTTTCAATTTTCTATTCTTATATTAAAATAAGTTGAAACCCCAAACTTAGTGCCTTAAGACATCCTCAGCTTATTATTTTTCATGATTCTGTGGGTTGACTGGGCATTTCTACTGGTGGAGTTACTCTGGTTGTGATCAGCTGGGAGTTAGGTGCTGCTGGACTTCAGTTGGGGCCCCCGGGTTCCAACCCACATGACCCGTGCATGGCCAGCTTGGGCGTTCTCACAGTGTAGCAGGCTCACGGCAGTGTGCCAAGGGCTGCTACGCACTTCCTCTTGCAAAGCCATTTCTGCCATGTTCTCTTGGCTAAAGCAAGTCAAAGGTCAGCACAGATTCAAGGGAAGGAGAAAGAAATAGACTCCACCTCCTCCTGATGAAAGGAGTGACAAAATCTCATCCTAAGAAATTTTAGGGGACAGGAGACTTTGGAAACGGTCTACCTCCCCTGCATTTGAGGTGGAATATTATGTGGGAAGTACACAGATGAGAATATGTTTGGCTCTGCCATGGATAAAATTCTCTTCTCTCCAGCTGAAGTAGAGGCTGCTCAAGCATCCTTATTAACCCTGCTTGCCTCACATGCTTTACTTTCCATCCCTTACCTCCTGGCTCAACCCCCTTTGGATTCAAGATAGATTTCTAATTAATCTCACTGGTAACACTGGCAAGCAGGCTCAGTTTCTGAGCATAACTTACAGTGGGGACAAAAATATGTTTCATGGAATTTTGAAGCTCTTGTAACTTCCATGTTACAGATCCATTCTTATGCCTCTGATCTGGAAAACCATTTTTGAAGTGTAACCTGGGCTAAGTGAACCTTTTCCTTTAAGCCAGCATGAACGAAGCTTTGCCAGGCCGCACACCTGAAAATGGAGACAGCCTTGTCAAAGTGAAGGAGGAGGACCCCACCTGGGAGCAGACATGGGGTTCATGGGAGAGCAGCCGCCAGGCTCAGGAGCTTTGCCGCCTGCGATTCCGGCAGTTCTGCTACCGGGAGGTAACTGGGCCCCGAGAGGCTCTGGCTCAACTCCAAGAACTCTGCCGTCAGTGGCTGCGGCCTGAGACGCACAGCAAGGAGCAGATCGTGGACCTGCTGGTGCTGGAGCAGTTCCTGACCATCCTGCCCGAGGAGCTGCAGGCCCGGGTGCAGGAGCAGCCCCCAGAGAGTGGGGAGCAGGTGGTGGCTGTGCTGGAGGATCTACAGAAAGACACAGGAGACCTAGGACAGCAGGTTGGGGAACATTTGTCTGTTAATTTTTAACTTTCTATTTTAAAATAATTTTTAACTGACAGAAGTATCTGGGAAAGTAGCACAGAGAAGTCCTGTGTCCTCTTCACCCAGATTCACCAGTTTTGTTAACACTGTCCTCTTGATACGCGCCCTCTTGTGCGAGCACTGTCCCTCAGCCTCTCCACATGTGCACAGGTCTGTGTATCACACACACACACTCATGCATTGTGTTTTCTTCCACCATTTGAGAACTATCTGGGGACACCATACTTCTTTATGTAGGAACACTTCAGTGTTCAATATGTATTTCTGAAGAACAAGGGCATTCTTTTGTATAACCAGAATACAAAAATCAAGTTTTAGGAAATTAAAATTGTTATGTACTATTATCTACACAGTAGTCCTTGTTCACATTTTGCCGTATCATCCCAGTAGTGTTTTTGTTTTTTTTTTTTGGCAATTTTATCCTGATCCAGGATGTAGTCCAGCATCATATGTTGCATTTAGTTGCTCTTACTTTAGTCTCCATGAATCTGGAACAGCTGCTTGAATCTGGGACAGTCTTTGTCTGTCATATTGATATTTTTGAAGAATACTAACCAGTTACTTTATAGAATGCCCATAAATTTGGGTTTGTCTTCTATTTTCTCATGATAGAATGCAGCTTGTGCATTTAGGCTAGAATCCCACAGAAGCTATGTGTTCTCCTTAGTGCATCACATCACGAGGCACACGGTGATGGGCTGTCCCATTACTGATGGGGTTAAGGTAGGGTCTGTCAGATTTCTGTATTACAGTTACCATTTTCCCCCTTGTAATTAATAAGTAATCCTTAGGAGAGGTTTTGAGATCACGTACATACCCTGTTCCTCATTAAAGTTCCATCCACTAGTGTGTAAGTATCCATCTGGGTTTGTTCTGTTTTTTTTTTCAGGGCAGAGACTCTGTGTCTGCCTTGTCTCTTGTTTGCCATGATCACCCCAGCGTGTAGAACAAAGTCTGAGTCTTAGTACATGTGCAGTCCTTGTTTACCACATGGATGAATGTCTCTGTGTTGCTCATTTGTCTTACTGGTTGCTTCTTTAAAAGACAACATGGGGCCCATCTGGTGTTCTGGGAGATGTCCCTAACTGCTGTTCAGTCTGGTTCCCACCAGGATGCCTTTTCAAAGTGACTCTTTTGTCCTCAGGCTTCTGTCTATACTCAGGGACAGGACATGTACCCACTGGTGACAGAATATCAAGGAGCCTCTTTGGAGTGTCAGAGCCTCCAGCTCCTGCCCAGGGTAACCACCTTGAAGTGTGAACCTCCAGAGCTCTGCCAAGGGAACCCCCAAGAAGTGAGTGGTGAGTGCCGGTGGGTGTTCAGTGTGGACGTTGGCAGCAGACAGGTGCTTGTGTAACTGTGTCCTCCACTTTTTATATTTTGTTTTTTCTTTGTCTCACTCTGTATCTAAGCAAGCTTCTAAGGACATTTGGAATTGTAAAATGTTGGAATCCTTAGATCTTCTTGTCCAATACCCTTCCTAGTAGTTGGGAAAACCAAAATTCAGGTTGTTTAATGACTTGTGCAGGGTCGACAGAGGCAGAGCAACATCTGGAATTCAAGTCACCTGAGCTTCTGACCAGAGTCTCTCTGCTATATACCTCTGCTCTACACCTCTAATTCGATACTTGTGGGTGTTTTAAATATTTACGTGGTAGCTTTCCACAAACTTACCTTTCTCCCGTAGTAACATTTTCTTCAGTATCCTCCTGGCCTCTAATCTTGCGTCATTTTAAATGCAGCTTTGGGCTTAAGCAGGTTCTCTGTTTTCCATTTGGAATGCAGTCTCCTGTGTGCAGGGCTCCCCCACTTTCCATCTCCAGCCTTCACCTCCAGGTAAACCACCCCAACTGTTGGCTGTTGTTCAGCTCTGTGCAGGCCTCTGGCAATAGGATAAGCCATGCAGAGAATACAAAGTTTACAGTCTGCAGATGGATTGAGAACAGAAAAAGTACACAGAAAGTTCAAAGAGGAGATCTTAGAACTCCACAGTGCAGTGTTTTTTAACATCTGGTGAGGGGTGCTACTAGTTTTTCCCCAGAAGTTGTTGAAAACTTGACTCTCCTCCCTGGAAATTGCGGGTACATGCAAAAGTATGCATACGATTTCAGAGGGTTCATGATTTACCCCAGTCGTGGTTACCGATCACCACGTTGGTCATCTGTGAATACTGATATTTTGACAGTAAGTGTAGAATATATGGTTCATGTAATAAAATCATCAGAGGTAGATGAAATGTATAGGGCTCATATTACTTATGGTGTTTACCATATCATGTAGCATAAATAGGCCTTGATATTTCCCTACTTACATGGTTGATGTCTCTATCATATTTCTTCAGCTATGAAAAACCAGCATTACATAAAGCCCCAGAATGGTTTGTTTATGTGAAGTTGAGAGGTGGTAGAGAGCCCCACAGTGGGTAGACATTCCTACTTACCTAGAAGACAATGAACATTCACATCTGCTGAAAGCAATTTCATTTTGACTGGAGATGGGCAGTTGTCAGAATGGTGATGATAATTGACCAAAAGATAGCAGCGGTCGTAGGATGTGAGATTGTTTCATGTAAGTGAATGCTTAAAAGTTGCCTGAGATGGCTCATAGAACCAGACCCCGGGGCACTCTGGGCAGAGTGGTGGCCTCCTGTGGTTTCCTGCATCCCCATAGGGAGGTACCACTGCTGTGGTGTGTGTGTGACTGGGATGACAATGCTCTCTGGGCCCTCAGGAAGCATGCCTTGTCATTTTCAAGTGCTTTTTTTTTTTTAATTGTTAATCACCATACATAACATCATTAGTTTTTGATGTAGTGTTCCATGATTCATTGTTTGTGTCAAGTGCTTTTTAAAAATATATATCCTTTTAGCTCCTCCTGAATATTCTAGAGACTCTAGCTAAAGGCCTGCCTACCAGTTATAATCCCCGCACATTTCTCCAGGTTACCTGAGACCACATGAACTGAAGACCAGTTTCCCAGGCTACTGGCATCCCCTCTTCCTGTGCTGGTATTTTCAAGGGATAGTAAGTCAGCCAACATGGCAAAAGGGTAGGTAGGGTTTCTTTAGCAAGAATGTGGGGAAGAATGGGGAGATCACGTGGAAATATCTTGCAGGGTTGTTAAAATTTGGACTCTCATTAAAAAGTTGGGTGCTGGGGCATCTGGGTGGCTCAGTCAGTTGAGTTTCTGCCTCCGGCTCAGGTCATGATTTCAGGGTCCTGGAATCGAGACCCACATCGGGCTCCCTGCTCAGCAGGTAGTCTGCTTCTCTCTCTCCCTCTGCCCCTCCCCCTGCTCATGCTTTCTCAAATAGATAAATCTTTTAAAAAAAAAAATTCTCTCTTTATGATGACTTTTTGCCATTTTAATTACTGTGTGTCTTGGTGTGGACCTCCTTAGGTTGATCTTTTGCCTTGTATAAGATTTTATTTGAGAGAGCAAGAGGGAGCACGAGCTGGGGGAAGGGGCAAGGGGAGAGGGAGAAGCAGACTCCCCACTGAGCAAGGTGCCTGATGCAGGGCTCCATCCCAGGACCTTGGAGTCATGACCTGAGCCAAAGGCAGATGCTTAACCGACTGAGCCACCCAGGTGCCCCCAAGAGGCTGTTTTTGATTTGTCTTTTTCCTTTGTTTTGTTTTTTAAATTCTACATATGAGTGAAATCATATGGTATTTGTCTTTCTCTGAATTATTTCACTTAGCATTATACTGATCTAGAGATCCTTCCATGTTGTTGCCAATGGCAAGAGTTCATTCTTTTTTATGGCCGAGTAATATTCCATTGTAGAAACATACCATATCTTCTTTATCTATTCGTCTGTGGATTGACACTTTGACTGCTTCCATAACTTGGTTACTATAAATAATGCTGCTTAAACGTAGTGGTGCCTATATCCTTTTGAATTAGCATTTTCATATTCTTTGGGTAAATATGCAGTAGTGCGATTCCTGGATTATAGAGTAGGTCTGTTTTTAATTTTTTGAGGAACCTCCATACTGTTTTCCACAATGGCTGCACCAGTTTGCATTCCCACCAACAGTGCAGAAAGGTTACTTTTTTTTTCATATCCTCACCAGTACTTGTTTTGAGTTTTGGATTTTAGCCATTCAGACAGGTGTGAGGTAGTATCTCGTACTTTTGATTTGCATTTCCCTGATGATGAGTGATGTTGAGCATTTTTTCATGTATCTGTTTGCCATTTGTATGTCGTCTTTGGAGAAATGTCAGTTTGTGCCTTCTGCCCATTTTTTTATTGGATTATTTTGTTGGGGTTGAGTTGTATAAGTTTTTTATATATTTTGGATATGTCATTTGCAAATATCTTCTCCTATTCAGTAGGTTTTCTTTTAGTTTTGTTGATTGTATCCTTTACTGCGCAGAAGCTTTTTATTTTGATGAAGTCCCAATAGTTTATTTTTGCTTTTGTTTCCCCTTGCCTCTGGAGACATACAAAAAAATGCTGCGGACGATCTCAGAGACATTACTGCCTGTGCTTTTGTCTAGGATTTTTGTGTATGGTGTCAGAAAGTGTTGCGTTTCCTTCTTCTATATGTGGCTATCCAATTCTCCCAGCACCATTTGTGAAGAGACTGCCTTTTTCCCACTGCATAGTCTACCTACTTTGTCGAAAATTAATTGACCATAAAATCGCAGGTTTGTTTCTGGGATCTCTAGTCTGTTCTGGTGACTTATGTGTGTATTTTTGTGCCAGTACCATTACTGTTTTAATTAATACAGTTATGGAGTATAGCTTGAAATCTGAGATTGTGACACCTCCAGTTGATTGCTTTGGTTATTTGGGAACTTTTGTGGTTCCATACAAATTTTAGAATTATTTGTTCTAGTTCTGTGAAAAATACTCTTGGTACTTTTATAGGGATTGCATTAATCTGTAGATTTCTTTGCCTGGTAAGGATATTTTAACAGTAAGTCTTCTCCCACTACATGAGGATGAGTATCTTTCTGATTGTGTGTCAGTTTCTTTCACCCATGTTTTATAGTTTTCAGAGTACAGGTCTTTCACCTTCTGGTTAAGTTTGTTCCCAGGATTTCATTATTTTTGGTGCAGTTGTAAATAGAACTGTTTTATTAATTTCCCTTCCTGCTCCTTCATTATAAGTGTATGTATAGAAATGCAGTGGACCACTGCATCTTGTGACCTTAATGAATTCATTTATCAGTTCTCATAGGTTTCTGGTGGTCTTTATAGAGTTTCCTCTATATAGTGTCATGTCATCTGCAAATAGTTTTCCTTCTTCCATACCAGTTTTGATGCCTTTTAGTTCTTTTTCTGTTCTGATTGCTGTGGCCAGTACTTCCAGTACTATGTTGAATAAAAGTGGTGACAGTAGAAATTCTTGTCTTGTTCCTGATCTTAGGGGAAAAGCTCTAAGGTTTTCATCATTGACTATGATGCTGGCTTTGATTTTTTTCATATATGGCCTTTATTAGGTTGAGGTATGTCGCCTCTAAACCTTCTTGAGGGTTTGTATCATGAATGAATGTTGTACTTTGTCAAGTATTTTTTCTGCATTTATTGAAATGATCATGACTTCAGTCATCAAGACTTGTTTTGTGGCCCAATATGTGATCCATTCTGGAGAGTGTTTTGTGTGCACTTGAAAAGAATGTGTGTTTGCTGAAATGTTCTGATTATATCTGTTAGATCCATCTGGTCCAGTGTGTCATTCAAAGCCACTGTTTCTTTGTTGATGTTCTGTCCATCGATGTACATGGGGTGTTAAAGTCCCCTACTATTATTGTATTACTATTAATTAGTTTCTTAATGTTTGTTATAACTAAATATCTGGGTGCTCCCATATTGGGTACATAAATATTTATAAATAGTATGTCGTATTGTTGGATTGTTCCTTTTATTATGTAATATCCTTCTGTCTCGTTTCAATCTTTGTTTTCAAATATATTTTGTCTGATAGAAGTGTTGCTACCCACTTTTCTTTTCACTTCCATTTGCATGATAACTGCTTTTCCACCTCTTCACTTTCCATCTGCATGTGACTTAGGGCTGAAGTCTCTTGTAGGCAGCATATAGATGGGTCTTGCTTTTTTATCCCTTCCATCACTCTTTTTTTTTTTTAAAGATTTTATTTATTTGAGAGAGACACAGTGAGAGAGGGAACACAAGCAGGGGGAGTGGGAGAGGGAGAAGCAGGCTTCCCACGGAGCAGGGAGCCCGATGCGGGGCTCGATCCCAGGATCCTGGGATCATGACCTGAGCCACAGGCAGACGCTTAACGACTGAGCCACCCAGGCGCCCCATCACTCTGTGTTTTGACTAGAGAGTTTATTCCTTTTACAGTCAAAGTTTATTGATAGGTATGTACCTAGAGCCATTTTGTTACTTTTTTTTTTTTTTTTTAAGTTCTTTTCTGCTCTCTTGCTTTCTTCTCTCATGGTTTGTTGAATTTCTTTAGTGAGATATTTGAATTCCTCTTTGTTTTTTGCATATCACTGGTTTTTGATTTGTGGTTACCTTTAGGTTTGTATATAACATCTGCATATAGCAGTCTACAGTAAGTTGATGGTTGCTTATGTTTAAACCCATTCTTTACTCCTCCCCCCCTCCACGTTTTTGGTTATGGTTTCATACTTTACATCCTTTTATTTTGTGAATTCCTTGGTTGACTTTTATAGATATACTTAATTTTACTCCTTATGTCCTCCTGCTTTTCTTACTCCTGAGTGTGGTCTTTCCTTTCCACTCAAAGAATCCCCTTTAACATTTCTTGTAATGCTGCTTTAGTGGTGAATTCCTCTAACTTTTGTCTCAGATTCTCTCTCTCTCCTCCTATTCTGAATGATCGCATTTCTGGATAGAATATTCTGGGTTGCAGGTTTTTTTCTTTAGGCATTTTGAATATATCATGCTACTCCCTTTTGGCTTGTATAGTTTCTGCTGAAAAATCAGCTGATAGCCTTATGGGGTTTTTCTTTCTATGTAATAGTTTTCCTTTTGCTGCTTTTACAATTCTCTCTTCGTCATGAATTTTTGCCATTTTAATTACTATGTGTCTTTTTTTTAAGATTTTATTTATTTATGAGAGCAAGAGAGAGCATGGGCCAGGGGGAAGGATAAAGGGAAAAGCAGCTCCCCACTGAGCAGGGAGCCTGATGCGGGATTCTATCCCAGGACCCTGAGATCATGACCAGAGCTGAGGGCAGACACTTAACTGACTGAGCCACCCATTACCACATGTCTTGGTGTGGACCTCCTTGGGTTGATTTTACTGGGGGTTCTCTGTGCATCCTGGATTTGGATTCCTGTTTCCTTCTCCACATTGGGGAGATTTTCAGCTGTTACTTATTTAAAGAAATTTTCTGCTCTCTTTTCTTTCTCCTCACATTCTGGGATACCTCTACAATGTCCGTGTTATTATGCTTGATCTATCTTCATTATTTATTAATATTTGTTCTTTCTGTTCAGCTTGATTACTTTCCATTCCTCTATCCTACAGGTCACTGATCCATTTTTCTGCTTCCTCCTCTACTATTTATTCCCTCTGGTGTATTTTTAATTTGTGTGTCATCTCTGGTTCTTTTTAGGTTTCTTGTCTCTTTAAGGGTCTGAGGTCCTCCACTCTGTTCTCAAGTCCAGTGAGTATCTTTATGATCACTACTTTAAATTCTATCAGGCATAATACTTCACTGTTTTATTTAGCCGTCTTGCAATTTTGTCTTGTTCTTTCATTCGGGACGTATTCCTCTGTCTCCTCATTTTGTCTCTGTGTCTATTTCTGTGTTAGGAAGGTCAGCTACATCTCCTGCTCTTGTAAGTAGTGGCCTTATGAAGAGTTCCAGGAGTGCCTGCAGTGCGGTGTTCCCTGTTCATCAGAACATGGTGCTTCGAGGGGCTCTCTATGTTGTGCGTGCCCTAAGGTTGTGGGCGAGCTGCGTTGGCCTTCAGTGTAGTCCTTCACAGTGGCTCTCTTTGCCTGTTGTAGCCTGCGTTTGGTCCCTGTGTTAGTGGGCCAGTCTGGGGCTGCCTGGGGCTTGAGTTGAGGCAGTCCGGGTGTTTGCCAAAGGTGCAGTGGCACCAAATTGCAGGGTGCTCTCCCTGTGTTGTCCCCCGAGCAGCTTGTGTTGACAGGTGGAACTGCCATCAGACCAGTGTGTGTTGTTCCCTTACCGTCTCCCTGGGGCAGGATTCACTTGGGAGTGGTGCTGGCCCCTGCTGGGGCTGCTTGCACACTGCCAGGCGTGTGGCCCAGGCTCGGATAGGCTCTGGCTAATGGTGCGCGGGAGGGGGCAGGGTCGTGGTGTTAGCAACTTTTGGATAGGTTGGCTGTGGGGGGTGGTCTAGAGCCTCCCCCTTTAAAAAACTCCTGCGACAGGCTGGATAGGGGAGTCCCCTGAGTGTGTGGACGTGGCATGTGGTGTGGCAGGGCCGTGCACATCCACGGCAGGAGGGGACTGCAGCTGCCCAGAACTCCTTAGGCCGTAGGGATGGAGGGGGTGTGGCTGTAGGAGAAGGGGGGCCGGGGGGGGGTAAGGCTTGCTGTTACCGTGTTGGGTGGGGAGTGCTGCACTACCCTGGCTCCCGTATGTCTGTGGATCTAGGCTGGGTTGAAGCAGAGGAAAGCAGAGCCAGCCAGCACTTTTGTTCTTGCAGTCTCCCAACGATTCCTATCCCTCTAGCATCGCTCTGAGAGCAGTAAACAAACCTCCCTCCCATTTACCCCAGGCAGTTCTCAGACTGCGCTGGTGTGCTCTCTCCCAGTGGGGCCGTTTGTGGTGTGGTCTCTTTAAGGGCGGGGACTCCTTTTCCTCTCGCCCTCCCTCCTCAGAGCCCAGCAGGCTGATTTTCAAGTTCCAGCTTAAGCACTGCTGATTGTATGAAATTCGGCTGCTCTGGTTTTCAAAGTGAGGTTATAGGATTCATCCCTGCCCCTGCCCCCTCAGGCTCCCCAGTTTGGGGGGTCTGTTTCTCTCCCCTCTCCCTCCTTCCTGCAGACAGTCACAAGGCTCAGTTTGCCTCCTGACTTGCACCTCCGGTTTCCTGTCTTCTTTGATGTGGCCTCTACATTTAGCTTCTGGAGAGTCTGTTCTGCCAGTCTTTGGGTCATTTTCTGGGTTCTTTACACTAAAGGGGGTTATTATCTAGTATCCATGGGACCAGGTGAGCTAGAGTCCACCCACTCCACCATCTTCCCTGGATGACTCTTGCCTTCCTTCTGTTTTTGCACTTAGCTCTGATACGCCTGAATCTGCAGGGGTAAATGGAGAGGAGGATCTGGACTTGGGATTATTTTGAGTTGGAAACAATCTTTTTAAGCAGCAGCACGGTACCCAGCACTGTGCAATCACCCTTCCTGTTTTGATTATTGTGGGTCCTTTCAGAATCAGTAGCTTCCAGCATGGTGGATTGCCAGCATCTCTACCGCCTGCACAACGTGGCTTCTGTGTGTGTGAGGGGGGACATTTCCCAGAGCGCCCCACCCACCCACTGCGTCCGCGCACGGCCGCCACCACTTTCTGCTCCCATTCCCTCGGTTCTCTTCTGCTTTCCTGTCTCCCCTTGCCGGGTACCTCTACTCTGCTCAAGTTTCCCTTTAGCACTAGCTTCTTCCTCCTGTTTATTTTCATCTGTGACTTGTGGCAGAGCAGCGGCCCCCTCGGAGTCTGGCTCCCGGGGACCCTTGTGGGGACTCCGCTCAGGGGAAGGTTACAAAAGTCCATCTGATGGGTGAGGGCAGCCTCTGGCGGGTCCCGTGTCTGGGCGCACTGTTTCCTTTAACGCTGACTTGGCCCTTGGGAGCCGACATTCCCCTTCTCTGTCGTCTGCCTGCAGATTTGTCTCAGCGCTTACCATTTCGCATCCCTCCCCACCACGTTATCTTCTTCTGTCACTAATCAGAGAAGTTCTCTTCACACTCCGAGAAGACTATTATCCACATATTATTTTCTTTAAATCTAGAACTTGGTAGACTCTCTCCCCAGCTAATTGACCTTTTGTGTATTATCTTCCCATACTGTGCCAGACTTTGTAGGACCGCTGTGACAGCACTTCTGGGACAGCTGATGATTATGTTAATTTGAAAATCCCGTTCCCAGGGCGCCTGGCTGGCTCAGTCAGTAGAGCAGGTGACTCTTGATTTTGGGGTTGTGAGTTTGAGCCCCACCTTGGGCGTAGAGCTCACTGAAAAAGAAAATCCTATTCCCTGCTCTGGAGATTTTTTTTTTCCTCTTTCTCAGTTCAGGCAACAGATGACATTTAAATGATTGTATTATTTTAGCTGAAGAAGTTGTAACTAAAGATGGATTATTTAATGCAAAGAAAGAAACTTCTCAAGAAGTGGAGCACGGTGCTGAGGCCCCAGGAATACCCGACAGGTGAGTGTCCATGGTTGTAAGTGGAACAGATCCTGCAGCTGTCAGAACAGATTAGAATGGAACCAGAGAAACCAACTGGTCCGAAGCTGCTTCCCTGGGATAATGTAGGAAAAGTAACTCTCACTTGTGTAATCACAGGAGGTCCCACGCCCCGGTGACCTACCATTATCCGCATTACACAAAACCTTCAGTTGGTGCACAGGTGCCTCCAAGAATCCTATCCTGTTTACCTTGCCTGGTCACCCCTCCCTGAGCGCCCTTAGGTCTTTGTGGAGCTACAGATAAGCCACAAAAGGCAGAGAATTTAGACAAGACAGCGAGGCCATCATAGCAGTGAAGAAAGACCTAGCATTAGGAAGTAGCTGATGGCACAGATATTAAAGATAGTAGTAGGTACTTAGTTAAGTGCGGGTTGTGGGAATGAATGAATGAACATGGAGCACAGATGCTCCTAAAGCAGGACAGGAGGGGCCCGGTCAGAGGCAGAGGGTTAGGTTTGGGTGAGGCCGTGAACTCCTTGGAAGTGAGAAAAAGAGGAGAAAGGAAACAGTGTGGGATAATTAGCCTGGCACGCAAGGCAACAGTGGGGACATTTGTTCAGAGCAGGGAATCGGAGCTAAATCTTAGTGAAAATGGAAATGTCTTGAAGCTTAAGAAAAGTGAAATTTTTCATAAAGCCCAGAGGCCTGACCCAGGCTCCCACTAAAATAACGTTTTGTGAAGTCACTGTACCGGCACAATAGGAATCTGGTGGTGTGCCTGTCAAGTACATTTAACCTTAGTGCCCAGAAACCTGACTCCCCATGTCTTCATCCCCCCACGGCCCCTGCCAGCAACAGTTTCTTCACCTCCTTTTCCCACTACTCACTCCCCTTTCCTTCTTCCACCATTTTGGGCCATGATGCATGTCCATTACCAATATCTTTGTGTAAAATACGCACTTTTGCTTTATGTGAATGCTTTAAATTATTTAAATAGTATTATATTATCACTCAGCATCACGTTTTAAGACCTGTCCGTATTTCTGAGTACTCACAGCTGCCACCTAGTATCTGCGGGGCACACCCCTCACGGTCCGCCTATCACTTCCCCAGCGGTGGTCACTCAGTCGCCTTCAGGCCCCCTCAGGAGGAACACTGCTGCAGGGAGCAGCCTCTACTACACGCCCCTTGTGTGAGACCTTCTCGGAGACAAATAGCCAGGAACAGAACTGCTGGGTCCTAGGATGTGTTACTAAATTTAACTCAATACTGCTAAATGGACTTCTGAAAACAATGCACCAGGTTCATACTCGCCAGCATGTGTCATTATCCAGTTCTAGTCAAGGATCCAGGGCTGCTTTATCCACTCAGGCCCACAGGATGGTCCCTGCAACTCTACCCATGTTCATTCCTGGTTCCAAGAACACAGACGTTTTCCCCTATTTCTCACTGGCTGAAATGGCCTCCAAGGACCACATCCGGCCGAAAGAGAGGCTGGGGGAACTCAGTATCTAGAAAGGTGAATGGGATTGTTTAGGACTGGCTTAGACCAGTTCGTGGCCTTTACCGGGACACGAGGCTGCCTCCAGGAGAACTGGGTTTCCGACGAGCTATCAGAAGAGGCACGGGTGCTGGTGGGAAAGTCACAGTCTGCCACTCTCCCCAAGCAGATGATAGGGAAACTTTCTCAGGGTGTCACAGGCCACGATGAACTAGACAGAGGTGTGGGTCAAGAATCAGTGATGAACTGATGGGAGAGGCCAAGAAGGGTTGTGTTGAAAAGACTATTCTCTAGCCACATTTTTATAAGTGCCAGCTTTCAAACTGTTCTTCCTTTGTTCCACCCATTCAGGAAGCCTCTCGTCCCTCTTACGCAGAGGCGTGTGACCACAGACAGCCCACCACGCGTAGGTGCCGTGAGCGCACAGCACAGGGGCGGGGCTGCAGTGCTGCGGGAGGAAGCACCTGTGAGGGAGCGGGCGTCTGAGTGAGACTCAGGGACCAGGCGGGAGTTTGCTGGCTGCACAGGAGGTGGAAAGGAGAGAGGCAGAGAAATGAACATGCCGGCACCCAGAGGGAACTAGGAGAGGAGTCACAGAAGGCAGACTCCACGAGCAGGTTTCTGCCTGAGGAATTCGGGGTCCTCTCTGGAGTAGGAAAAGAGGCTGTGGGATTGAAGCTTTGAGAAGGATGATGAAGATATGAAATGTGGGGAACTGGGAAGAAAGGGACGGGGGGGGCGGGGAGGACTCCAGACAGGGTGGTGACCAGCTGAATCTCGAAGACCAGCACAGTTAGCAGTGATGGTCGCCTTGGTGCTGTGGGCTCTGAGGCGCTGCTCCCCCTGGGGTGAGGACTGGAGAAGACCCAACGATGGGCTCCACCCCGGGCTGAAGTCTGGCTGGTCTGGTGCTACAGAAGGCCACTGGGGCAGGTGGTTGATGATCCTGGCCAGAGAGGGGCTAAGGTGATGGACTGTGGGGTCAGTTGACTGAGTGGAAGCAGGAGGCAAGAGAGGAGTCCGTGAGATGGAAGGGCAGGGGCGTGAGCCGGCTAGACTGAAAAGATGCAGCATGACGGCGGCATCTGCACAGGGTCCCTGCAGTTGAGAACATGAGGGAGCTCTACGAACGGTAGGGAACGTTGAATGGGCCATACGTGCACACTGGAGACACCCAGGATAAATGCTTTAAGCAGATAACTGAATACATGTAGTATAAATTGTACTCTTTTCAGTGCTTTTTCCCCCTTGTGTCCTCTGCAACTAGACTATTTACCAATAGGACATTAGTAAGTGAAACGCAAATTTCTCAAAAAGAGAAGCTTGTGTATAACACTTTTCATCTTGGTAACTTTAGCTTGCTTCCTTGTAACCCCATAAAAACCAGTTCAGCAGCAGTAAGTTTGAGTTTCTCTTAAGTTTCTCCCCAGAGCAGTGTGTCCACCAGATGAATGCAGAGCTAGGAAAGACTTAATCCTTCCATGTTCAGAAATTCTGAGAGAGGTGTGAGGGAGCCCAGTAAATAACAACCCCTTTCCTTGTCCAACTTTAAAACCAAATGATGGAGATACAGCAGTAAAACAGATGATTCTGGAAACCGTGGCTTCATTATTGACGGAAGCTTGGCTAGGAAAGGAGCAGCACAGCAGACCTCCCCCTACACAGCCCTGCCCGATACAACTTTGGGGCGTCTGCCACTTGCTTCCGAAGAGGAGGGAGGTGCTGCACAAAGATGTCCAGGTTCCTTCTTTCAGATTTCACAGCTAGTTGTCTTGAGGAGTGAGACCATGCTAGGGAGAGGCCAGAAGGGTTAGGTCCTAGGAGGGAGAAGCCAAAGTCCTAGGAGTGAGAAGCAGGTAATCTCCACACAAGACTACTTAGGTGTCATCAGATTCATGTCATAGTAAGTCTAAGGATTTTTATAGCCTTTTTTTTTTCATTCCTAGAAATTGTGTGCCCCAGCCACCTTGTACTTCTGTCCGTATGGAAAGGACAGTTGCACATTTGAACACTCTAAAGGACCGTCACCCGGGTGACTTGTGGGCCCGAATGCACATCTCATCCTTGGAATATGCTGCTGGAGACATGACCCGAAAAGGGAGAAAAAAGGACAAAGCTCGAGTGAGTGAACTGCTACAAGGCCTTGCATTTTCTGGTGACTCAGATGTGGAAGAAGATAACAAGCTTGAGGCCCACCATGCTCAAAAAAAGCTAAAGATGTCAAATGTGCCAGAGAAGAATTGGGCCAAAAGAGACATTAAACCCAGCTTCCCAAGCTGGTCGGCACTGGATTCTGGACTTTTGAATCTCAAGAGTGAGAAGTTGAACCCAGTAGAGCTCTTTGAGTTATTTTTTGATGATGAAATATTCAACATGATTGTCAACGAAACCAATAATTACGCATCTCAGAAAAATGTCAACTTGGAAGTCACAGTTCAGGAAATAAGGTGTGTGTTTGGTATCTTGCTTTTGAGTGGATTTGTGAGGCGTCCCAGAAGGGGAATGTATTGGGAAATCTCTGATGCTGATCAGAACCTGGTTAGAGATGCAATTAGAAGGGACAGATTTGAATTGATTTTCTCATACCTACATTTTGCAGATAATAGCCACCTAGATCAAAAAGATAAGTTTACAAAATTGAGGCCTCTCATAAAGCAAATGAATAGAAATTTCCTCTTGTATGCTCCCTTGGAAGAATACTATTATTTTGATAAGACAATGTGTGAATGCTTTGACAGTGACCAGTTCCTGAATGGGAAACCTATTAGAATTGGCTATAAAATTTGGTGTGGCACAACCACACAGGGTTATCTGGTGTGGTTTGAGCCCTATCAAGAAGAATCAACAGTGATGGTGGATAAGGATCTTGATCTTGGTTTAGGTGGAAATCTAGTGATGCATTTTGCTGATGTTCTTTTAGAGAGAGGCCAATATCCCTATCACCTGTGTTTTGATAGTTTCTTTACAAGTGTAAAATTGGTGTCAGCCTTGAAGAAAAAAGGAGTGAGGGCAACAGGAACAATTCGTGAGAACAGGACTGAAAAATGTCCCCTCATGAATGCAGAACATATGAGAAAAATGAAGAAGGGCTATTTTGATTTCCGAGTCGAAGAAAATGAGGAGATAATTTTGTGTCGTTGGCATGGTGATGACATTATCAGTCTATGCTCCAATGCTGTAGGCATAGAACCAGCCAGTGAGCTAAGTTGTTCTGCTGATGAGGACGACATCCATCAGATAGCTCAACCATCTATAGTGAAACTGTATGATGAATGCAGGGAAGGTGTAGCTAAAATGGATCAAGTCATTTCCAAATACAGGGTGAGAATAAGAAGCAAGAAATGGTACTCCATTTTGGTAAGCTACATAATTGATGTAGCCATGAACAATGCATGGCAGCTACACAGAGCCTGTAATGCAGGTACCTCTCTAGGCCTCTTGGATTTTCGGAGATATGTCGCACATTTCTATTTGGAGCACAATGCTAATCTGTCAGATTAAGGCAGATAAAATGAACACAATGCCAGTATGAACAAGACAAAAAAATTACAGGTACAAATCAGATTGTACCCTTCCAAAGTAAACCTGATGTATATAATGGAATTAAGTAATATTTTTTAGAAGTCAAACATCTATGTAGAATTTCAAAGACATTATTATAACAAGTAATTTTAAAAATTATCTGTAAAAATGTTGAACTTGAGTGCCACCTTTTTCTATGACTAATTTTTGGTGTGAGACACGTGAGAAATCATTTGTTAAAGTGATTAATTTGTGCCCTGGAAGAATGAAATTGTGCCTTTTAATTTTTTGTGGAGATTTTTAAAAATGCAAGCACTGTCATAGTAACCATAGGACGATGCTGAATCTACAGCTGAAAACTGAGGCAGAGCGCGTGACATAAGGATGATCTAAGAAAGACCTTAGGTGATGAGGCTGAAGACCTCAGTGTTGGTATAAAACTGGATCAGATGGTGGGCAGGAGAGAAGGGCCAGGCAGGGGAGCTGGAAAGGAGTACTATAAAGGAGAAATTGGAAGCGAAGAAGTACCTCTGAATACTGAAATGAAAGGTGTATCCTGTTGGGACTGTGGGAGTTGGCAGAGGCAGCTAAGAGTAAAGAAAACTGAGGAAATAGGAAGCAAATCGGGTAACAGTAGCATCTTCAGGAGAAGAAAGGAAAAGTCAACAGTAGGATGAAGTTGACATAAAGCCCATGGTGAAAAACCTGTATGCCAACAAACTGAATAGCCTAGAAGAAATGAATAAATTCCTAGAAACACATAAACTACCAATACTGAATCTGGAAGAAATAGAAAACTTGAACAGACCCATAGCCAGCAAAGAAATTGAATCAGTAATCAAAACTCTCCAACAAACAAAAGTCCAGGACCAGGTGGCCTCACAGAGGAATTCTACCAAACATTTAAAGAAGAGTTAGTACCGATTCTACCCCAAAATATTCCAAAAAATAGACGAGGAAGGAAAACTTCCAACAAATCATTCTATGATACCAAAGCTAGATAAAGACACCATGAAAAAAGAAAAGGGAACTAGAGGCCACAGCACAGAAACAGGAATGACTGGGCCTTGTAGCCCCTTATTCACACTAAAGTAGAGGTGTCAGAAACAGGAGGGCAGCAACTGCAGGATGGAGCAACGTGCACGAGAGCTGGCTCATCTGAGAATACAGGCAGACTGCTTGAGCGCTCTCCCAGGCTGTCGACTTCAGAGCAGTCTGTATGGGACTCGCACCCCCCAAAACAAGCCACCTCTCTTCATTGCCAGATCTCACATAATCTTGGGGCAAATCTCACGAGATTTCAGCCCAAGTCCCATGAGCTCTTAGGCCGTATCTTGTGGGAACCTGGTAGGAGAGGGAAGTCCCTAGCTAGCCTCCTTTGTGCACGGTAAGTAGGTCGTGATGAATACAGATGCAAAAATCCTCAACAAAATAGTAGCAAACTGAATGCAACAGTATATTAAAAAAATCATACACTACCATCAAGTGGGATTAATTTCCCAGATGCAAGGGTGGTTTGATACTCGCAAAACAATCAACGTGATAGATCAATAAGAGAAAGGATAAAAACCATATGATCATTTCAATAGATACAGAAAAAATATTTGACGAAGTACAACATCCATTCATGATAGAAACCCTCTGCAAAGTAGGTCTAGAGGAAACATACTGCAACATAAGTAAGGTGTAATATGAAAAATCCACAGCCAACATAATATTCAATGGTGAAAAACATAGCTTTTCTCCTCAGATCAGGAACAAGACAAGGATGTCCACTATCACCACTTTTACTCAACATAGTACTGGAAGTCCTAGTCACAGAAATTAAACAACATAAAGAAATAAAAGGCATGTTTATTGGTAAGGAGTTAATAAAACTCTCCTTGTTTGTATATGATGGGATACTATATATAGGAAACCCTAGAGACTCCACCAAAAAAAAAAAAATTTTTTTTTTAAAGATTATTTATTTGACAAACACAGTGAGAGAGGGAACACAAGCAGGGGGAGGGGGAGAAGGAGGCCTCCCACAGAGCAGGGAGCCTGACGCAGGGCTCAATCCCAGGACCCCAGGACCATGACCCAAGCCAAGGGCAGATGCTTAACGACTGAGCCACCCAGGCGCCCCCCACCAAAAAACTTCTATAACTGATAAATTCATAAGGAAAGCAGGATACAAAAGCAATATACAGAAGTCCATTGCATTTCTATACAGTTGTAATGAACTAACAAAAAGGGAAATGAAGAAAACAGTCCACCAATTGCACCAAAAATAATACCTAGGAACAAATTTAACCATGGAGGTGAAAGACCTGTACTCTGAAAATTATACTGATGAAAGAGCTAAAGACAACAAAAATGAAAGGCATTCCATGCTCATGAGTTTGAAGAACAAATACTATTAAAATGCTTAGACTATGCAAAGCAACATACAGATGTAATGCCTTTCTAATCGAAATACCAACAGCATTTTTCACAGAACTAGAAAAAAATCCTAAAATTTCCTAAACAAAAGACCCCAAATAGCCAAAGCAATCTTGAAAAAGAACAAAATGGGAGGTATCATAATTGCAGATAACAAGTTATATTACAAGTAGTAGTAATTAAGGGGACCCTATTCCAAGCGGTCCCCTGAATTGAGCCGGGTGTCTTCCAGACCACTCTGAACACCCATGAAATCGGCATGAGATGTAAGAAGATATATCTGGATCTCTACAAACAATATGCCAGGCAGTTGGTTTCGAGGTTTGAAGCAGGGAGCCATGATTCCGCGGACAGATATCGGAAGATAAACGGAAGAGGAAGGGAGCCTTCAGGATCCTGCACCTCGGGTGTGCGAAAGCCTCCCGTGCTGGGAACAGAGCACAGGCTCGCAGACTGGTAGCGGTGGGGAAAGGACTTTAGGGCAGTCCCCTGGACTGGAACCTGGAGCAGCGGGGCCATGCGAGTGAACTCGGGGCAGCTGGCGGTTTTAGAAGCACAAAGGGCAGAGATGTGCCTTGACCTGGAGACGAGGACTGGGAGCGCTGCTGAGGGGTGCACAACCCAGGACCCTGAAGTTTATAGCAACACAGACAGAAACGGAGATAGTGTGGCCTGGAGAGCTCACTGAAGAACAGACTGAGATCTATGCTCTGAGGCAGAGGACTGGAAACGATCTCTTCTGCTCTGACTCTCGGAAGAGACACGGAAAGTCGCCAGGGAAAGCGGCCAGAGAACAAAAGCCCAAAAGAACCGGTTTTCACTGAGCCCTCTCCCTCCCCACAGGCGGCAGGGCAACTCTGCCCAAACAGGGTTGCCTGAGTAACAGTGTGGCAGGCCCCTCCCCCAGAAGACAGGCTGGGAAAACAAGAGGGCAACAACCCTACTAAGGTCCCTATAAAACAGGTGCGTCTTGCTTGGGTTGTGGTCAATAATTTGGACTCTGTACATTCCCTCAACCACCCCTCAACAGAATGACTAGGAGGAGGAACCCCCAATATAGGAAAGACTCAGAGACTGTGATTTCTGCCAGATTTACAAATGGATACAGATATAACCAAGATGTCAGAAATGGAATTCAGGGTAGCAACTGTGAAGACAATAGCTAGAATGGAGAAATCGATTAATGGCAACAGAGAGTCTTTCTAAGGGCAGAAAAGCAAGATGAACTGGCAGAACTTAAAAATGCTATCAATGAGATCCAATCTAATCTAGATAATCTAACAGCTAGGGTAAGTGAGGCAGAAGAACGAATTAGTGATCAGAAGACCAATTGATAGAAAAGAAGGAAAAAGAGGCGGCCTGGGAGAAACAACTGAAAATCCATGAAAACAGAATCAGAGAAATAAGTGACACCATGAAACGTTCCAATGTGAGAATTATTGGGATCCCCGAGAGGGTGGAGAGAGAGAGTGGACTAGAAGAAATATTTGAGCAAATCATAGCTGAGAACTTTCCTAATCTGGGGAATGAAACGAACACTGGTATCCTAGGGGCAGAGAGGACCCCTCCCAAGATCAAGGAAAACAGGCCAACACCCCGGCATGTAATAGTAAAACTCGCAAATCTTAGAACCAAGGAAACCATCTTAAGGGCAGTTAGGGGGAAGTGATTCCTTACATACAGAGGGAGGAACATCAGAATAACATCAGACCTATCCACAGAGACCGGGCAAGCCAGAAAGGCCTGGCAAGACATATTCAGGGTACTAAATGAGAAGAACATGCAGCCAAGAATACTCTATCCCGCAAGGCTGTCATTTAGAATGGATGGAGAGATGCAGGGCTTCCAAGAGCAGCAGAAACTGAAAGAATATGTGACCACTAAGCTGGCCCTGCAAGAAATATTAAGGGGGGTTCTATAAAAGGAGAAAGACCCCAAGAGTGTTACAGAAAAGAAATTTACAGGGACAATCTATAAAAACATCTTCACAGGCAACATGAAGACAATTCATTCATTCATATCTTTCAATAATCACTCTCAATGTGAACAGCCTAAATGCTCCCATAAAATGGCACAGGGCTGCAGACTGGATAAAAAGACAGGATCCAACCATATGCTGTGTACAAAAGACTCATTTTGAACCTAAAGATACATCCAGACTGAAAGTGAAGGGATGGAGAGCCATCTTCCATGCCAACAGACCCCAAAAGAAAGCTGGGGTAGCAATTTTGTATCAGACAAATTAGATTTTAAGCTAAAGACTGTAGCTGGAGACACAGGACACTATATCATTCTTAAAGACTCTATCCAACAAGAAGATCTAACAATTGTAAACATCTACACCCCCAACATGGGAGCAGCCATCTACATAAGCCATCTGTTAACCAAAATAAAGAGTCATATCTGTAACAATACATTAACTGTAGAAGACCTCAATACACCACTCCCAGCAACAGACAGATCATCTAAGCAGAAAATCAATAGGAAACAAGAGCTTTGAATGACACACTGGACCAGATGGACCTCATTCCATCCTAAAACATTCCACCCTAAAACAGAATACTCATTCTTCTCGAGTGCACACGGAACTTTCTCAAGAATAGACCACATACTGGGTCACAAATCAGGTTTCAACTGATACCAAAAGACTGAGATTATTCCCTGCATATTCTCAGACCATAATGCTTTAAAACTGGAACTCAATCACAAGAAAAAATTTGGAAGAAACTCAAACACTTGAAGGTAAAGACCACTCTGCTCAAGAATGTTTGGGTCAACCAGGAAATCAAAAAAGAACTTAAACAGGGGTGCCTGGGTGGCTGAGTCGTTAAGCG